TGTGTGTGTGTGTGTGTGTGTGTGTGTGTGTGTGTGTGTGTGTGTGTGTGTGAGTGTGTGTGTGTGTAAGAGGTAAAGATGTCAGGTGGAATTGTTGTATGATTTTTGGCTGCATATGGTTTTTGAGTTGTTATATGGTTCTTATGGAGGTTCTTTAGGTCAGTGTTTTGGTTTCAGAGTTCCCTAAAGAACCAAGATGCTTTTCTAAAGAACTGATTAAAGATGGTTTTAGTTACTCCACAAAAACAAGCAATCGAAACACCTATATCAGAGGTATAAGTACTTTAGGACAGTTATGTGGTACTGTTTTGGCAAATTTGCAACATACTTGCGGTTAAAAATTATTGGTTGCATCTTTTGCAATTTGATTTCTAAGCCAAAAATCAAACATTTTGTTCTTTAATGCTTGCTTTTACCTCAATACATTTTGTTTTAATGATAACTGTGGCTGAAGATGGACAAACTTGATGATCAGTCTTCTCAATATTGAGAAAACTGTGATTAAACAAGTTGCTTTACAATGCTTGTGAATCAAAGTTCTTTTTAATAAAAATAAAATATTTTTTTTATTCTGCAGTTACATTTTGTAGTGGCATGAAAGTGTAATTATGGCGCTTTGTTATTGTGCACATTGATGTTTCCTTTCTGATCTGTCCAGATTTTTTATTTTTTTTGTACAGTCAGAATATTTTTAAACCTCAAACTAAAATCAGTACTAGGTTTGAAAAAACTTTGAACATTTTTAAGTTTGGGAAAAAAACTTTGAACATTTCTATTTTTGAATTTAAAAAAAAAAAAAGTTGAATATTCCTAAATTTGGAGAAAGCTTTGACTTGAACAGTTATGAATTTGGAAAAAAAATTTAATATTTCTGTTTTAAAAAAACATAACATTTCTAAGTTTGAAAAAAAAGTTTGAACATTTCTAAGTTTGGAAAAACTGAAAAGTTCTATTTTTGGGAATAAAACTGAATATTTCTATTTTTGGAAAAAACATGAATATTTCTATTTTTGGGGAAAATAATTATATTTCTAAGTTTAAAAAAACTGAATATTTCTATTTTTGAAAAAAAAGTTTGAACATTTCTAAGTTTGGAAAAAAATCTTTCAATATTTCTAAGTTTAAAAAAAACTATTTCTATTTCTATTTTTGGAAATATAGGAATATAATTTGGAAAAAGCTTTGACTTGAACGGTTATAAATTTGGGAAAAACTTTTAACATTTCTGTTTAAAAAAAAACAACATTTCTAAGTTTGAAAAAAAAAACTTTGAACGTTTCTAAGATGTTCAAAGTTTTTCAAACTTAGAAATAAATGTTCAATGTTCCTGAAACTTAGAAATGTTCAAAGTTAGAATATTGGAGAGAAAAAAAATGTTTAGACAAGCAGTTTTTGTGCTTTAAAGGTACTTTTAGATCAGTACTAGGTTTGAAAAAACTTTGAACATTTTTAAGTTTGGGAAAAAAACTTTGAACATTTCTATTTTTGAATTAAAAAAAAAAAAAAGTTGAATATTCCTAAATTTGGAGAAAGCTTTGACTTGAACAGTTATGAATTTGGAAAAAAAATTTAATATTTCTGTTTTAAAAAAACATAGCATTTCTAAGTTTGAAAAAAAAGTTTGAACATTTCTAAGTTTGGAAAAAAATCTTTCAATATTTCTAAGTTTAAAAAAAACTATTTCTATTTCTATTTTTGGAAATATAGGAATATAATTTGGAAAAAGCTTTGACTTGAACAGTTATAAATTTGGGAAAAACTTTTAACATTTCTGTTTAAAAAAAAACAACATTTCTAAGTTTGAAAAAAAAAACTTTGAACGTTTCTAAGATGTTCAAAGTTTTTCAAACTTGGAAATAAATGTTCAATGTTCCTGAAACTTAGAAATGTTCAAAGTTAGAATATTGGAGAGAAAAAAAATGTTTAGACAAGCAGTTTTTGTGCTTTAAAGGTACTTTTAAAAAGAAAGTCTTATTGTCTTTTAAATGTATCAGTCAATTTCAGAAGCATAGAAATAAATGTATTTAAGTACAATTTAAATATGCTAACTTGTACTTCTACTAAGGTATGTTTTTGTCTAGATTCTTTGTCATTTATCTAAGTTAAATGTTATAGTTCATATGCCCTGTAATTGTCCTGCGTGTTGTTAAAAAATTAATGCCTTCTTACTATCTAAAAAAGAAGTACATTTTACATCAAAAGTTTTTGTCATTTTGTTATTTATATTTTGGGTTTAGATACACTTTTTTGCAGATTTATTTAATTTTTATCCAGTATTATATATCAGGAAACAAATGACCTTAAGTTGTCCTTACATTGTAAGATACAAATCTTACATTTGGATAAATGTGTGTAATAAATGCATAAATGTAGATTTGGTAAATTATAAACCCCATAATTTTATTCCTGGAAAGACTTTCGCATTTGTTTATTTATTTGTGCGCGTGTGCGTTGCGTGAGTGTGTGTGTGTGTGTGTGTGTGTGTGTGTGTGCGCGTGTGCGCGTGCGTGTGTGAGTGTGTGTGTGTGCGCGTGCGCGTGCGTGTCTGAGTGTGTGAGTGTGTGCGTTTGCGTGAGTGTGCGTGTGTGCGTGTGAGAGTGTGTGCGTTTGTATGCGTTTGTGTGTGTGTGTGTGTGTGTGTGTGTGTGTGTGTGCGTGTGAGAGTGTGTGCGTTTGTGTGCATGTGTGTGAGTGTGTGTGTGTTACCAAAGTCAATCTAAAATGTATATATTTTTGCATTTTTCTTGATGAAGTTTTCCTTTTGTGAGGATAAAACTAACAGGGATATCCATCTGTGAATAGATTTACCAAACACAGGTGTGTGTCTATGTTTGTGTGTGTATCTGTTTGTAGATAGATAGTGTGATAGATGCTGTGTGTTTTATCGTTTGTGACTTTGTGCAAGTATATTTTTTTGTGCTTGATTGTGTTGGTGTATTGAACAGCCCAGGATTGTGCTGGTGTGTATGTACACTTATGCTTTTTGGTTTTGTGTGTGTGTGTGTGTGTTGAAGTAAGCTGGGTTGTCTGCTGCTGTATGTTAATTTTCTGTTGTGTGTGTTGAACAGAATGAGTCCAGAAACATCGAGATGCTTGCGGCGGCTTGTGCTGTCGGGGTCGGATGCTGCTTTGCTGCTCCTATTGGAGGTCAGAACCACATTTCTGAAACAACCAAACAACATTGTGTAAATGCTCAGAATTTAATCATTTTTGACTAAATTAGTCATATTTCTCTAAACTGTCAAGATAATTAACATCCATCAAAACTATTTAGTTTTGCCCTGCAAAAAATATTTCATTTAAAGTTAGTATCTTTTGATTATACTCATATTTAACCACACAGATATACTAATAATAAACGTATATATCAGAAAATATCTATACTGATGTTAGGTCTTCTAATCCTGCTTCTTGTATTATTATTTTTTTGGCTCAATTCTGAAGACTTTGTAGAAAAGCTGTATTTTTTTAATGAGAATTGCAAGAAAAATATCAGTATTTGCAAGCATTTGTGGTGCAAGACACTTTGACTGACATTATGAGGAAAAATTAATGCCGCCTTACTATCTAAAAAAATTCATCAAAAGTTCTTGTCATTTTGTTATTTATATTTTGGGTTTAGAAAGACTTTTTTGCAGATTTATTAAATTTTTATCCAGTATTATATATCAGGAAACAAATGACCTTAAATTGTCCTTCTTACATTGTAAGATACAAATCTTACATTTGGATAAAAGTGTCTAATAAATGCATAAATGTAGATTTGGTAAATTATAAACTATTTTTTAGATAGTAAGAATTCTGAAGACTTTGTAGTAAATTATTTATGAGCCGTTTTCAGTTCAGTTCTGAATGGCACACAAAGTAAAAACATTCTCTTGAAAATTAAATAATGTACCTAAAATTACAAATATGTACAGTTACTATGTAGTTAATGCAGTTTTTACTTGAGATACAGTGCTATTTGTATGTTTTGAATATTTACTGTAAATTTGAAGAAACGTACAAAAGTACGTCTGCGTTTGAAAAAAAGCGTAACATTCCAATATTTGGGGGAAAAAAATATTTTTGAAAAAACTTGTACTAGTGCTTGTAATGTAGGGGTTACTTTGTTATTTGTACTTTATGAAAATTTACAGGGAAAAAAACATACAAAATGTCTATTTAAAAAATAGAACATTTCTAAATTAAAAAAACTTAAACTTAAATGTCTATATGTGAGCCTGCAGCATAAGCAGTCATAAGCAGCACAGATATATATTTGTAGCAATAGCCAAAAATACATTGTATGGGTCAAAATTATACATTTTTCTTTTATGACAAAAATCATTAGGATATTAAGATCATGTTCCATGAAGATATTTTGTAAATGTCCTACCGTAAATATATCAAAACTTAATGTTTGATTAGTAATATGCATTGCTAAGAACTTCATTTAAACAACTTTAAAGATGATTTTCTCAATATTTAGATTTTTTTGCACCCTCAGATTCCAGATTTTCAAATAGTTGCATCTCAGCCAAATATTGTCCTCTCCTAGCAAACCACACATCAATGGAAAGCTCATTTATTCAGCTTATTTCAGATGATGCATACATCTCAATTTCTAAAAATGGACACTTATGACCGGTTTTGTGCTCCAGGGACACATATTTCAAAACACTTAGAAATATTCATAATAAAATGAACATTTTTAAGTTTGAAAAACCACTGAAAATTTCCATCAAGATATTAACTCTATATGTGTGTATTTCAGGTGTGTTATTCAGCATTGAAGTCACCTCCACGTTTTTCGCCGTACGAAACTACTGGCGCGGATTCTTTGCTGCTACGTTTAGTGCCTTTATCTTCAGAGTGCTGGCCGTGTGGAACAGAGATGAAGGTCTGTGTGCATTAATACGCTTTAGAAAACACACGATGTGTATGTGAAGAGTTAAAGCAATCTTCTCTCTCTCTCTCAGAGACGATCACGGCTCTCTTTAAAACGCGGTTCAGACTGG